CGGCTATCCTTGTAACAGTGACCTTCGGTGAGAAACAGTCGGTTAAAAACTGCTCTTTTTTTGCTTGCCACAAATTTAAAACATTGCACACTTATTCAATGGCGAATCTCAATACTTTATTCGATAAAATGAAAGATACAGAAAGTATTGATCCTAAATTGAAAGACCTATTACAAGGGCTAATTGAGAATATAAATAGTAAGGTTGATATCATTGTTGGATTGCAGAATCGGGTGCATTTTCTAGAGAATAAGATTAATGAAATGGAAAGATATAGTTCAAAAGATTGTGCTATTTTGCAAAATTTACCTTTACGTTCCGGAAATTTTACCCAAGATGTCCTGGCCTTTTTAATGATGTTATGGGCGTGGAGGTGAATAGCTATGACCTGAAGGCATGCCATCCCCTCGAGCCTGTGAGTCAAAACCAAAAATGTATGGTTAAAGTGAAATTTTTCTACTTTGATGCAAAAAAAACAAAATTTATGGCAGAAAAAGTTATTATAGAATTTTTGCACCCTGTAAATAAGCAACCAGTGTATATAACAGAGAGACTTACTCAGCGCGATTTAGAGCTTCCTGATAATTCTCGGGGTTTGGTAATGCACACAGTTACTTATAATTGTGCTCCTCAAGTTTTCGTTTCGAAAGCAGATGGTGGATTTCGAAGGCACAAATTAGTTGATATGAAGGATGCTAATCAAATTTTCAAAAATAAGAATCCAATGATGGCAAGACTGGCAAATAATGTTAGAAATCAGAATCCTCGAGTGGTACAAAATAATCAAAAAACAACGTTTCTCGCCCTCCTATTGTTTCAGTGAGGAAACGTGACAGAGAAATAACCCCGAATAATGTGGAAAGAAATCAACTGATTGATGAATTGTACAGGAGGCTATCGGATCCCGTCAAATTGGTCTAATCTGTGGAATCACTTCAAAGAGATTCTCCACAGTCCAAATTCGTCAACAACGGAAATAATACTAATGAAAATGATTTTGATTAGTGGCAAAAGCATTTCAACTCTATTTACAGTTTTTTTGCTGTAAATCTTTTGTTTTATTTTAGAAAAAAATCTTTTGCCAGATATGACTGACCTGACAACAACGCAAACAGCATTTTCCCTAAATGTTCAATCCATAAGAGCCCATCATGACCAATTATCAGTTTTAATTGAATCCTTTGACAACAAGCCTGCATTAATCGGACTGACTGAAACATGGCTCTCTGAGAATGATCCTATTGGCATTTTTAACTTAGAAGGCTATGACAATATTGTTTGTGCAAACCGCGTAAACGCTAGAGGTGGGGGCGTTGCAGCTTTCCTTAAAACTGGCCTACTAAAGTTATTTTAAAGTACCAGTCAGTTTGGAGCACATCGTTATCAAAATGTGTTTTGTCGATCACCCTCCACTAAATGTTTGCATAATAAATCGTCCACCAAATCTCGAACTAGATCTTTTTTTTGAACTTATTTGAAGATTTTTTGCTTGAAATGAAAGCATTAAGTAGTGAAATTTTGCTAATGGGTGATTTAAATGTCGATATTATAGGTAGCCAGCGCAACTTAATTCACTATAAAAATCTTCTGCTTTCTTTTAATTTAGAAATTCAAATTATCAAGCCAACTAGAGTCATTAATATATCAAGTACATGCATTGACCATATAATTGCGGCGGAGTGAACTCAGATAACAACAATAAATTGTACTATTAGTGACCATTATGGACTTAAATGTGACCTAAAATTTATTTCAGAAAGCAAAACGTGGATTCTTTTCAATCGGATTTCAACTATAATTTACTACTGAAGGATGATTATTGTTTAAAGTTTTTGTTTTTGCTAAATAAACGATTGAACAAAATTGATGGTGATGATCCTAACCTTTACATCATTGAAATGACCCAAATCTTGATTCATGAATTTTCAAAGTATTGCCCAAAAAAATCCGAAAAAAGAATAAAAACAACCACCCATGCATTAATCTGAAAATTAAGAGAAGGATGAATAACCAAATTATACAAAAAATGGGTTCAGACACAGAAATAATTGAAAACAGAAATAATTTCACCTCATGTAGGAACAATGTTATTAGGGCTATAAGGGAGAGTAAACGCCGGTACTATGATAACATGATAACGAGGAAGAAGAACTCGTCCGGATTTTTGGATGCTTTTAATCATTTCTGTGGTAAAAAAAATGTGAATACTGCTTCGTTCGATGTTAATGTTTTCAATGAACACTTTGCTACTAATGGAGAAAAACTAACAGAAAACTTCAAACAAAACGTGTAATGATCAAATTTTCCAGTTAATAAAAACACGGTCGTTATGATACCAATCGATATGAAATACTAGAGGAAATTAAAAACTTGAACTATAAAAAATCTACTGGTCATGATGTGATATGTAGTAAAATGGTAAAATTTGCTGCTCCGGTGCTGGCTGAACATTTAGCGCATTTTTTCAATATCTGCTTCAAAAAAGTGTTTTCCTTATTTTCTCGAAATTGCAAAAATTTTAGCATTGCATAAAAATGGCGACAAAACTGAACCCGATAATTACCGTCCAATTAGTTTGTTGTCTTGTATAAGTAAACTTTATGAAAAACTAATTTTCAAGCGCATATTCAATTTTGCCGCTCAAAACAGCTTGATTGATAAGCATCAGTTTGGTTTTCGAAGTAATAATTCCTGTACTCATGCCATTTTGTCCATTACTGACTTTTTTCGCGAATCAATTGATAACAAAAAAATTGGTTACTCCTGCTTTATTGATTTGAAAAAAGCAATTGATACAGTTGATCGGAAAATTTTGCTTGACAATTTTTATCAATATGAGTTCAGAGGAAAAATTCACAAGTTAATGACAAACTATCTTACAGGGAGAAATCAATATGTTTATTCGAATCAATCGGTCTCGAATATGCGAGACTGTACAAAAGGTGTTCCTCAAGGTTCAGTTTTGGGGCCATTTCTGTTCCTTTTATACATAAATGATATGCCGTCGGCCAGCAACGTTAAATTAACATTATTTGCAGATGATACAACGGTAGTTGATGCTCAAAAGTTTGCATCCAAAACGAAATTCCAGACAGAATTAAATAAAATTTGTAATTGGTGCAACAATAACAAACTGCTCATAAATCAAAAGAAGTGCAAAATAATGAAGTTTGGACGGGATAACCTAAATGAAAAATTTTCTTTTGGGAATAATGTACTCGCCAAGCTTTCTGATTTTAGGTATTTAGAAATTCAAATGGACAACAGACTCAAATTTGAAAGTCATATTAATAATGTTTGTGATAAATAAGCTAAATTTAACGGCTTACTATTCAAGGGTAGAAACTATTTCTCGAAAATTGTTCTGGTTAAATTTAATAACTGCTATGCAAAGCCAATCTTTTCCTACGGTTTAATTGCATTTGGTGCAACATCAAAAAGCCTATTAGAAAAAAAATTTGTGATGCAAAAACGTATTTTTAAAACTATTTGTTTCAAGAGAAAATTTGATCATTCCTCATATATCCTACATTCGTTTGAGATTGAAACCGTTTTTGACTTATATTTCAGACAAATATTCCAAGAAACTTTTAATCAACTTCGTGGTAAAACTCCCCGTGAAACTTTTAATTTGGAATCTCTAAAGAATCGTCGGGTTACTCGGGCCTCTGTGGCAAAAACTTTACCAAGCATGAAAACTAGAACACAAATGCAGCGTTCATGGAAAAATGTCTCCTAAGTTTTATAATTTTTTGAAATCAAACGAGCTAATACCAGATAATCTAAACCAATTAACTGAGCATCAATTAAATGGGTATTTCAAAAACTTGTTTTCATTGTTTCTTAAAGATAATGGAGATCTTATAGATTTATTTTATTGAATCATCAAGTCGGATATTATCTCGCAACTTCTGTCATAAGTTTTTTCAATGTCATGCCTCGATAAGCTGCATAGTTTTTTTGCATGATCCTTTGTGGGTTTGATTTGTACTTGCGGTTTTTTGTTTACCTCTCTGTATAATATTACTCTCCTAAATAAACAATCTAATCTGTTCCGTTTTAGATTTCCTTTCTCGGTATTGGCATTTTTTCAAGATACTCTTTTCACTTGAAACGTGTTGTTTATATGGAGTTTTTATCTTGTAGTAATTTTGATTTTATTCACTCTTAAATGGAATTAAATGAATGAGTTCGATTGAAATGTGACACAAAAGATTATCTTCATTGTCAACTTGGTAGCATGACTGCCTTGATAAAGTCATTAAATACGCCTCTGTTCCCAGAACAATCAGACTGCGTAACGTTCGACAACCAAAATACACTAAGAACCCAGCCCTTTGACCCATTTTGGCCGCTCAATTTATAGTTTATTAAAACCCATAAAATTGTCATGCACGTGACTTAAACAATGGTTTTTATAAGCTATAAAACATGCATTTGTTTCAATGACTTCATGATGCTGCTTAACGTGAGTCAAACTAGAGTTGACAAAACGTTTCAATGCTAGCGTAAAAATTTCGAATTTTTTATGACTAAGTAATTGGTAGTTTGATTTGAAAAGGGAGCAGATGGTTCGAAATATGGAAGAAGAGTCACTATCCATTCTACACATTTTGCAAAACTATGCCAGTCAATTTGAATGAAAGTCAAGCTTGCTCTGAAGAGGTTGAATTTGTACGGAATTTTCCTCAAAATTTTCCATGCACAAAGTCAAATTGTGCTCTTGAATAACGGAAATTTTCCTATCAAGCTTGTTACCAATCCGATGAACGATAGTTAAAAGATGAACCATAGTTATATGTTTAAAAAAATTACCAGAAATTCAGGTAATAGAACAAGAATATGCTTAGCTTGACTTGAGTTGATCCAAAGGTTCTTGCCTATACGCTCAATCTGTAATGAGAATAACCTATAGTCTTATTATGGAAGGCTCAAAGTGAAAACATTTATAAACTGTTAATCATTTTGACATTTATTGATGAGCTGTTGTGCTGTTTCAGACAACCTGGACTATAGTGAGCGACTGGGTCTGCTGGTGGGTGATGCGTGTGTGGTGTTTGTGGTGCCAGTGGTACTAGTGTGCTACTACTCCAAGTGTCTCTTCTACAGACTGCACATGCCCTACCATCAGGCACACCTCATCATCGGACACCACGACAGGTCAAAGGTCAGTGCTCAGGTCTCACTTCACACCTATCTCACAACTAAGATTGACTGTCTTTTCCCGCATCTATTTCCCCACATTACACAAACATCAGTTTAGTCATATAGACATTTACTCAATAAGTCCATTTTGGAAAAGCAAATGACCAGGTGTGCAAAATACCAGGCGTGATTACAATAGAACAATGTGAACAATTTTTTTTTGTTAAATATTGATGATCGAGAAAATAGGGTGCACTGCACTGTGCCTGCTCCTTAAGCCTAAAGCAATATATTTCAGCCCCGACAAAGGGCAAAAGCGTAAGGGTCGGTCTTCGCTTATTTGCTTATTGACTATAATTGGTTCATTAAGAGCTCTTTAACCTTAAGTTGCAGAAAAGTTGTAAAATTTAAATGTTTAAGTTGTGTAGTTCAAGCTGTCGTATTTTTTATCAAGTTTGGGGATCAAGTTATCTTTTTAAAATGATCGGAACTTCTTTCTTCTTTTTACATTAATTAGTTCATTAATTTGGCATTTCATAACGGAAAACATCTACTATAATTTAACCATATATGGTGGTCGTGCTACTGAGTTCATAAAAACTCATTCTTAAATTTGATGAAAAGCCAATTCAAGGTCAGTCGGATAAAGCACTTGATTCGTGTATCGTTATCTGACCAAGAAGAACAACAATTCATTCTCAATGTAAAGACCGAATGTTTGCCAAATGGTGGTCGCGCGTGATAACCGGCGACGAGTCTTTTGTGCTTTTGCATGATATCTCCGAAAGTATCGCCAAATATGCCAAAAGAACAGTTTGTTCACATGTACGCTCTATGTAAAACTACATGAAAATGCGTGTTCTAGATGCAGATTATGAAAGCAATAAATCAAAGGCTTGTCGTATTTTTCTCTTATTTTTTCCTGTGCCTGGATTCAGTTTGGTGATATATTTCACACTGTCGCAAAATTGGTCACAATCATTTAAGACTCACAACAGCGTGAAGGTGCGATTTTTTGACGTCATTCTGATTTCCAAAAGGGTACATTCATGTCATAAAAACCATCTGTCTCCTAACTAATATGCTCATTTATGAAGTCACTCGTTCGTAAAACTCACTCAATTGAGGAGAAATTTTTCGTACGAAGTACTTAATTGAGACTAAATTTTTTAAAAAGCATTGAATTGGAACAAAGGAATCAAACAGATGGCTGGTACATTTTAATGTCACGTATTCTTAACTCAGAATTTTAATATATCTATGTTTTTTCTAAAATCCAGGGCTGTGACATTTTCATTGCATTGGCGTTTATATGAACGTAGTTATACAGCAAAAATGATAAAAGCAGACTGTATTTTTGAATCAATTAAAGCGAGCTAACCAACAGTTTGTTGTCAGCCAAAAACGTCGTTATTTAATGCCTTTGGATTGTGGAACATTGCCCGAAGTGCAAAAATTGTGATGCTTTTCCCCCAAGCTCTGCCATAAGATTTTAAACAGATATTAGTAGCAACATGAGATTTGTAGCAACCTGACCTGAAGCTTAAAATTCTGACTCAGTCAATGGAATCATTAAATTTATATAATCTATTTCTGTTATATATTTAAATGCGAGCATCACTATTTTTGCATGTTTAACGAAAGAATTTTTGCGTGTTTAAGCTATGTATATTGCAATGGTTAAGATTTTTTCGATTTTCCATTTTGAATTCGGTGTTTATTTCACCGAGTTTAAAATAAGCAACCTAATATTGGGATGTTGTCAGGGTTCCCCAGGGGTTGCGAATTTGGCCGCATGAATGCTCCACTTATGAATGCTCAAATTTTCTTAGCTTACGAGTTACGACAATTTTTGTTATTTTTCGGAAAACTCAAATTAAAAAGTAATTCACAAAATTGAAATTCCCCAACCGATAGTTGGGTGTTGTCAGATTACTCTGAAAGATGCCATTTTACCTCCATATATGACTGCTCAAATCCTTGTAATTTTGAGATATGACGTGTCATGATTTCTTTTTAATTTTTCAGAAGCCGTTATTTTAAAAAGTTTCAGAAAAATTTGAAATTTCCAACCCTGTAGTTGGGTTCTGAGAGGGTACTCTCAGGAGTTCCAAGTTAAAAATTTTGCGTCCAAATGAGATTACTTAAATGCTATTAGTTTCCGAGATGTGACGTTTATGTTTTTTTAATGTTAAAGAAATTAGATATAAAAACTTTCTCAAAATTTGAAGTTTCCATCTCTATAGTAAACTTTTGTCAGGGTACTCCCAGGGGTTGCAATTTTTTTCTCAAAATATGACTGCTCAAATTATTGTAGTTTTCGAGATATGAGGTTTTTTGTAGTTTTTTCAAAAGTTTTCAGAGAACTTCAATTTAATTTTTTAAAATTTTAAAATGTTGTTGGGCGTCGTAAAAGTACTCTCAGGGGTACAGAATCTTGCCTCAATATTTGACTGCTCAAATTTTTGAAATTCTCCAGACATGATTTTTTGTGATTTTTTCAAAAGTTTTTCAGAACATTTAAATTAAATTTTCTTCAAAATTTGAAATTCCTAACCCTGTAGTTGGGGGCTTTCAGAGTATTCTCCGAAAGGGTTGCTAATCTTACCTTTAAATAGTACTGCTCAAATGTTTGTAGTTTTCGAGATATGACGTTTCTTATGGTTTTTAAAAAAAAAAGAAGTTACAAAACCTAAATTTGAAGTTTCAAAATATGAAATTTCCAACGTTGTAGTTGGGTGGTGTGAGATTACTCTCATGAGCCGCAAATCTTGCGTCAGAATGCGACTGCTCATTTACTTGAAGTTTCCGAGATGTGACATTTTTTATGTAATTTAAAAGTTTCACGAAGTTCTATGGTTTTTCAAAATTTGAATAAAAAATTCGATAAAAAAAACTTAACAAAATTTGAAAATACCAACCTTGTAAATAGGTGATTTCAGAGTACACTCAAAGGATGCATTTCTTATTTCCAATATATGCGTTTTTTATGAGTTGTCAATAATTCGAAGCACCGGAGTTGGATTACACGCTAGTTCTAATCAAGAATGACTCACTCAAAAATATATTTTTTCTAAAATGGGAATAAGTTTCAGTTTTCTGGTTTCAGAAGTTCATCCTGTTGCTGGTGTTGGCCATGATGACCTTCATCTTCCTGCTGCCGGAGAGAGCCCTGTTCATCTTCGTCAAGGTCACCAAGATCCCGTTCGGAATGTCCATGAATGTGTTCATCCGTCTCCTCGTGTATCTCAACTGTGCCTTCAAACCACTCCTGTATGGACTGCTCTACAGGGAGATGTACTACCCGCTCCTCATTCTCGTTCTAGGTCAGGTCATATGTCATAAGTTAAAAACCGCTTTGTAGTACCATTTGTCTGCCAGCCTTACGAGCGTTTTTCACTTTATAAAGCAACATCATATTTCTACCCTTAAATCTCTGAGCTACCCATATTTAACGCCACATGGTTTAAAATGGTCTTTTATCAGTTTAGATAAGATGAAATGGTAAATTTTTCAAAAAAACCAACTATCTGGCTTTTGAGAAATGCATGAAAATTACTTAGTTGTAAAATTTCAATTTAGGCATGAAGGATGCACGAAAGCCGGTGAAGCCTTCCCAGAGGAGCCCCAATCATCCGAGTATGAGCGTGGACGAACCCGAGGACGAGGAGCCCTCCATGACCCAAGAGGAGTACGAAAAACGTTTGGCCGAGGAGGACCCGACCAAACCGTCGCAAGTGATGATCGAAGCGATACGGGAGAAAGTAAAGAAACAAAAAGAGCGGGAAGAAAGAGAAAGAAGTCGTTTGAGTTCAACGTGCAGCAGCAACACTTCTCTTATGTACATGCGACAAGGTTCTGATCAAAGTAACGGAAGTGGTGGAATCTTTTTTGGACCGGGTGGTAAACAGTTTAACAATATGCGAGGACCTATGATACCCTACATGCACCGATCATCCTCATGTAGTGACCCTTATCCTTACATGGGTAGACCTAAGTTGCACAGTGTATCTGGCTCTGACCCTTACTATCAACAGTCGACTCCGAGAAACAATCCCGCTATGTACAACAATTTCTACACCATGGGCCGTGGTGTTGGAAATAACAAGAAACGCAACAATAACCCAAACGCTCCAATTATTCCAAGTATGGCAAACAATGTCCAAGCTGCGGATAAACTTCTGGAAAAAAACCGAAGCACCGAGATACCGTACTTTTCTCAGCAAAATGTCTACAGCACGAGTCCCCGAAAACCGAAGCCGAGAAATGCGAACAGCGAGAGCTTGTCGGCTCACGGATACGACAACATGCCTACATCCCAACGCCTGTCAGTAGGCTCATCGCACAAGCGAAGAGTGGAAAGAAATTCATCCAAGCGAAGCGACGATGGAAGTGAAAAATTAAACACTATTGAAGCTTCGCCGACGTGCGAAAATGGCCCGTCAACGCCTCCAGCGGAAGACCCGAGTGTCGGTCGTCTTGGCGAAGAGCGGTCGTCTTCGAGCTCAAATGGATCGGCTTGCAGTACAGAAGTTACGAACGTATCGGCGATTTCCCTGTCAAGCATGCCGAATGGCTCAACAAATGCGCTGATTCCCGGAAATCATCGGCGGTTGAATTCTGTCGGATCCAATTCAATTCATAGTTCGTCCCCGACGCCGCCCTCGCTTCCTCCGCGGAGTCCGACCGGAGTTTTGATGTTTGAGACTATCAACGAACAATCGCCTTTCGATTTCAGTTCATCAGCAATATGAAAATTGTTATTTAAAACTCTCCTGAACCTAAAAACTACCAAAAACTTCATCATGAAGCCTAAAATTTAGTTTAGAATTGTAAAGCGCGCTGTTTTTACCTTGATACAGATCAATTTCTCTGTCCGAAACTGCAAAAGCAAAAAAACAAAAAAATTAGAAACCGACCCCAATAATATGTTTTAGTTGATATTTTTGAGATAATAATTCTCAAAGTTAGTGCTTAAGTTATCAATGTTCATTGTAGTTTTTAATCTACTTGAGAATCAAAGTGTTGTGTGCATATTGGATTCCATCATGAAATATTCAAAACCTGTTGTTTCGTAAACTAATACAAAGTTGGTCGTAGAATTAGAATGAAAATATTAATAAACATTCGTTTTGTTTCAATACTGTATGATTTGTATTCCTCGAACAATATTGCCCTTTGAAAGGGCACAACTATTTGCATTATTTTTGTTTAAATACTGATATCAAAAGTACAAGGCTAAAACTCTCCGATCTTTTCCTTTTTCAGAAGGAGTTTTAGTCTTGATGAGAATAGTGCCTAAAAAGCTTCAAAAGCAAAAATTGATTGTTTTGTATTTTCAATTCTGTCCATTTTGTATTATTTGAGACAAGGAATTTAATTAATGGCTAGCCTTTCTTTATCACGAGAATTTCGGCAAAGAGAAGTTCGTCAAAACATTAAATGTACTTTTTGGCGAGAAAACAATTATCGAACTTCAATGCTCTCCTTCAGTTATTGAACTTCAATGCAGAAACCCTGCAAGAAATAATGTTGCTGAGGGTTCCAAGAAATTTGTTTTTGCAATTATACACCAGTTTGTGTCTTAACACACCGTCTGTTTGTCACGCTATTCTGTTCAAGCTATTTTGGTCTTAATATTCTGTCTGACCGGAACATTTGCCCACATGTTCTGGCATCCCCCCTCTTCAGGAACGCGACCCAACCTCACTAGCCAAAGGGTCCCACCTTTGGTAGTGTTTAAAGACGTCATTTTGAGCCACTTCTAAAATTTTTCTTAAGACGCTTTTGGCGCCACTATATACTCATTTAAAAAAAACTAAATAAAACCGCAATTTTGGCCTGTGTGTTTTAGACAAGCAAAGCTTGAGTTATAGTATGAACTATTTTTTTTTCAACCTAAATCGCAAATATTGTCGCGACGCAAATGTGTTCGTTTTGAAGGTGTTCATTTTGATCAATAACCAGCTGTTAAGAACAGCCAATGCTAAGGATATTGACAGAGACTATGATATTACAAACAGTACTTTAGCTTCAAGGAATGGATCTGTAGCGTAGAAGCAGTGAAGGAGACCAGCAACAAAATAAAAGGGTTCGAAACTGGGCACGGTCGGATGTTTTTTTTTTGCTGTTTTTCATATACTAGCTAAAATGCGTCCGCTCTATAAATTGAGGCATGTTAGATGTTATTTTTTTTTTCAAATTGATTTTAAATGCTAATTCAACATAACTGGCTCGCGCAGTTAATAATGTAGATTCATAGTTGGCGCGCGTCAATTAAGAAATTTTATAGACTCCATTTTTACTCATTCAATTTTCCCTAGGAGTGTTATCAGTCATATTTTTCCTTCGGTATGCGAATTGCAACTTCGGCTCTGTGTAAATATTTGCCTGGTTTGGGAAATCTTTTCAAAACAGTGTTTCTAGGGTGCTTTAGGAGCTTGGAAACTCAGTTGCATCGACATATAGAAAAAGTTCATCAAAAGTTTTGAATTTTTTTGAATGAAACTCCGAATCTTATCCTCAAGAAAATATCCTAACTCGTCTGGAACAAAAAAGGATCAGTTTACAAATTAAGCATGTTAGAGAGTCACAATGAAAAACCAACTCGGTCAACTTTTTTGTCGAAAAATTAAAGAAAAACAGCACAGAAAAATATAAAAATTGTCTAATTTTTTTCTTCAAATTTCATGGAAGTTTAAAATTTTTTGTTAACGGGAACTAAATTGAAGACTTTTGACTTCTTTTTCTATAATAACTCTACTTGCTTGCTGTACGTGCCTAAAAATGGTTCAAATTTCAAAAAAATTTAAAATCAGTTTTTCTCGACACTCGGACAACGTTTTTCTCGACACTCGGACAACGTTTTTCTCGACTTTCGATTGAAAATTTGTTGACGTCGTTCAAATTAAAGCTGAAAAGACTTTAATGTGATATAAACCCTCTTACCCATTACGATAATTTTTAACCGTTAAGATTTAGATGAACAGCAAAAAAAGGCCAGCTCGCTCGAAATGAGACCAAAAACCAAAAATATCAAACAAATTTTTCTCGAATTTTGAAATACCGTTTGAATAACGACTGAAACGGTTTTAATATGATATATTACCTGACTTTTTCGGATGATTATTTGCGATGACTAATTTAGCGTAGAAAACAAAAAAAAGAAAAAAGAAAAAACTAAAACAAACCCGAATACAAATTTCCTCCCAATTTTCAATGATCGGAACAAATATTTCGAAAAATTGGAACTGAACATAAACACACAGACGAAAAAACGAAGCGGAGCTTCGCAAAACTTGCGATGCAGAACACTCATTGCAGTCCCAATTAGTGAATAGCAAAACAGACTGAAGTCACAAAAATTTCTGAAAAATTATGTTGGAGATATTTACTTAAATTAGGTTGGAAGTAACTTCAAAAATTTTGAAGAAGAAAACATTTTTCTAATGGCTGAAGTTTAAAAGAGACTTTAAAATTTGGAACTCATTTAGCTAGCGGCAACAAGGCGACATAATTTGGGTCAAAAACTGTTGAACCGAAAACAAAACTGTCGCGACGCAAATTTTGTTGCGACAAAATGTGTTCATTTCGGAAGTGTTCTTTTTGATCAAAAACCAGCTATTAAGTACACCCAGTGCTATGTAAATTAGCAAAGATTCTTATAAAACAAATAGTACTTTAATTTCAAGTATCATGATATTCTAGCGTAAGGTAAGGAAGGAGACGTGCAACCAAATGAGAGAGTTCGAACCGGTCGGATGTTTTATTGAACTTTTTGGTATACTAGCTAAAATGTGTCCGCTCTAATTTTTGAGGCATGTTAGATAATAATTTTCTTTCTCAAGATGATTTGTAATGCTAATGCTTCATAAATGGCATAACTGGCTTGCGTATTTAATGTTGTAGTTTCATAGCTAGCGCGCGTCAATTAAGAAATTTTGTAGACTCAATTCTTTTTCACTCAGTTTTTCCCTGTAGCGTTATCGGTCATTTTTTTTCCCTTTGGTATGCGAAGTGCTACTTCGCCGCTGTGTAAAATATTTGCCTAACTTGCCAAGTTTTTTCAAAATAGTGTTTCTACTGTGCTTTAGGAGCTCGGAAACTTAGTTGCGTCGACCTAAAGAAAAAGGACATCAACAGTTTCAAGTTTTTTAAAATCCGCATCTTATCCTCGAGAAATTATCCTAAATGCACGCCTGGACCAATTAAAGATCAGTTTACATACTAGGCATATTATACACGCACAGTGAGAAAAACCGACTCGGTCAACTGTTTTTATCAAAAATTTTAGGAAAAACAGCAAAAAAAAATCATTTCTAATTATTTTCTTCAAATAAAGTTCCTGAAATTTCTAAGTTTTTTGTTAGCAGGATAGCACTAAAAACCGCCAAAACTGTTTTTTACTGGAACTAAACAAAAATTTATGGCTTATTTTTCTATAATAACCTTACTTGCTTGCTTTACCTGCTCAAAATTGGTCTAAAACTCAAATTTCAAACCGGTTTTTCTCGATACTCGGACAAAAAGTTGAACGTTTGTTGACGTCGTTCGAATTCAAACGAAAAGGGTTTTAATAAGATAAATCACTTGACCAATTAAACTGTTTTTTGTAATACCTGATTTTGCGTGTAAAACAAAAAAAAACGAAAAACGAAGCGAAGCTTTGCAACACTTGCAATGTAAAACATTCATTGCGCTACAAAATAGTGAACACTACAATAGGCAGAAGTCACAAAAAAATTCTGATTAATTATGTTGGAGACATTTACTTAAGAAAAAACTTAAGAATAACTTCAAAAATTTTGAGTTTTTTTTTAAAAATCGTGTTTGTAATGACTGAATTTTAAGCAGCCTTTAAAAATTGGAAACCAATTACTTAGTGGCAACGAGGCGACAAACTTTGGGTCAAAATTAGTGAGCCAAAAACGAAACTGTTGTCATAAAAGATTATATATGTTGTCATAAGTTTAAAAATTTTCTAAGACCCAACCAAATTAAAACATCAAATCGTGTACAGGTATAATTTGCCTTCTAAATTTTGCAATAAACGTTGAATAAGTTGATATAACATAAACTAAAACTAGCGAGCGTCAATCAGGAAAACTTGTAGACTCATTTTTTTCCTTCAGTTTCTCCCAGTAGCGTGATCGGTCATATTCTTTCTTCGTTATGCGAAGTGCTATTTCGCCTCTGTGTAAATATTTGCCTGCCATGCGAAATTTCTTCAATACAGTGTTTCTGCGGTGCTTTAGGAGCTCGGAATTTTAGTTGCATCGACCTATAGAAAAAGGACATCACATTTTCAAATTTTCCAAAATCCGCATCTTATCCTCGATAAATTATCCTTAATGCACGGTTTAAATATGAGTTTACATATTAGGCAGTCACCGTGAAAAAAACCGACTCGATCAACTTTTTTTTCAAAAATTCAAGGAAAAAAACAGCAAAAAAATCAAAAATACATCGAATTTTTTTTCTTCAAATTTCCTGAAAGTTTGAAGATTTTTGTTAACAAGATAGCACTAAAACCGTCGAACTTGTTTCTTTAACGGGAATTAAATTGAGCAATTTTGGTTTCTTTTTCTAAAGTAACTCCACTGGCTTGCTTTAAGTGATGAAAATGGGTTCAAAACTCAAGAAATTTCAAATCGGTTTTTCTCGACACTCGGACAGCATTTTCCTCGACACTCGGTTGAACATTTGTTGACGCCGTTCGAATTAAAGCTGAGGCTTTTATAGAATATAAACCCTCTCACCCATTACGATGGTTCCTAAACGTTAAATTTTAAATGAACAGCAAAAAAAGCCAGCGCGCTCGAAATGAGACCAAAAAAAACCAAAAATATCCAACAAGTTTTTCTGAAATTTGGAAATACCGTTTGAATAACAACTGAAACGGTTTTAATATGATATTTTACTTGACTTTTTCAGATGACTCTTTGTGATACTTGATTTTGCGTTCAAAACAAAAAGCAAAGTGAAAAAATTAAAACAAAGCCGAAGACAAAGTTCCTCCCAATTTTCAATGATCGGGACAAGTATTTCGAAAAAATGGAACTGAATATAAACACCAAGACGAAAAAAAACGAAGCGGAACTTCGCAAGACTTGCGATGCAGAACACTCATTGCAGTGCAAAATAGTGAATAACAAAACAGACTGAAGTCACAAAAAAATTCTGAAAATCTATATTGGAGATGTTTACTTAAAATATGTTGGAAGTAACTTCAAAAAATTTGAAAAAGAAAACATTTTTCTAATAGCTGAAGTTTAAAAGAGCCTTTAAAATTGGAAATCGTTTACCTAGCGGCAACAAGGCGTCAAAAACTGTTGAACCGAAAACAAAACTAATGTAACACAAATATTATTGCGACAAAATGTGCTCATTT